TGGGGGCTCCTTGATGGATTGTCCCAAAGAGGTAGGCTGGAGCCGGGTGTCCCGCCCCTGGAGTCCCTGTGTGGACCTGCCGCCTCCAGGGTCACCACTTGGAGCTGCTGGGACCCGCCTCCATGCCACAAGGAGTCTCGGGACCCCTGGTGTTGCCTCCCCGCTGCACAGGCAGCATCAAGTCCCCGCCCACCCACATGCGCCCTCTGCGCTCGCAGCCTCCTGGTGATGGATTGTTAAGGCGTGAGGGTGTGAGGGCGTGATGACCACATAGGCTTTTATTAGTATAGATGTCTTCAGCCTGGCCCGAGTGGCTCAGTGGTTGAACCTCGACCTATGAACCAGGAGGTCACGGTTGGAGCATATGCCTCAGCTGTGGGCTGGATCCCCAGTGTGGGCTGTGCAGGAGGCAGCCGATCAATGATTCCCTCTCATCATTGATGTTTCTATCTCTCTCTCCCTCTTCCTTCCTCTCTGGAAAAAAAAGTCTTCCTTTTTGAAGTAAGCAACTGTTTCACATACAGTGGGGCCTTGACTTACAAGTGTCCCGACTAACGAGTTTTTCAAGATACGAGCCGTCTCTTGGCCGATTTTTTGCTTTGAGTTGCGAGCTAAAATTCGGGTTACGAGCCAGCTTCAGATACCCCACAGCTAGTTGGCGCAGCGAACGTCACAGTGAACGCCACAACATCAGCCCAGCATCACGTGTCTCACTCATTCACTTTTTTATTTGACATACGAGTAATTTGAGTTACGAGCTCCGTCACGGAACGAATTAAACTCATAAGTCAAGGCCCCACTGTACTCTCAATTTTTTTTGCTACCTATTTACCTTCCCTCATTAGGAACGTGTCTTCATTTGCTCGGGCTGCTCCAACAGAACACCATAGACTGGGTGGCTTAAGCTACAAAAATTTATTTCTCATAGTTTTGTAGGCTGGGAAGTCCAAGATCAAGGCACCAGCAGATTCAGTACCAGGTGGAAGCCCAGTTCCTGGTTCATAGATTGTTATTTTCTCGCTGTGTTCTCGCATGGTGGAAGAAAAAGGCTGAGAGTAATTTGGGGGCCTCTTTTATAAGTGCACTAATCCCATTCAGGAAGGCCCCACCCTCCCAATCTAATCACCTCCCAAAGGCCACACCTCCTATCATCGCAGGTGTTAAGATTTCAACATAAGAATTTTAGGGGGGAAACAAACATTCAGTCCATCACAGAAAGGTACCTTTTACAAGTCTTTTCCACCCCATTTCTCATTCTTTTGTAGGCAGAGCACCATGCTCAACCACATTTCTCTCGTCAGTGTGTTCCATCTTTCTTCAAATTCTGTTTAAGACACTTTGTATAGGAATAGGCTTTTCACGAATAACCATGACACGAAGTAACACGTGATCTGAAGTGACAAATGGCTCTTCACATGGGCCCACCTTGGATTTTACTTATGGAATGTAGGACTTAGTGCCTCAGACCCGGCCCAGAGATCCGAAGGTACTTTCTGATTAAAGATAAAAACTTAAAAACTTAAAAATGAAATTAAAGTTAAACACTGAATTTAAAGATGTGGTCTCCAATCTCACTAGGAGGGGAAGCTGGGTCCGTCCACTCCTCTTGGTACTTGTTGGTTCTGTTATGACTGTTTTGCTCCCCTTCCTGGTAGGAGTTCCCATGGCTTCTCTGGAGTTTTTTTTCCACCGGAATGTTGATATTATCACCCGTGGTTTATAGTGAAGGTTCGGTTCCTTCTTCGCTGGTACTAGTTCAGTTCGGTGGATTTATTCACACTGTAAGGGTGGTTTTCCAAGGTCACTGTTAAAGAACTCCTCAGCGGCCTCACGGGAGACAGGGCTATGCTCCAGGCTCTGCTACTGCCAGGGCCAGAGTGGCTGGGCCTTATCATGTATGACCTCCGTTCTCATTTGGCCCAGCAGGCCATTAGCTTATTCTGCAGGTAGTGGCTACTCAGTGCCTGGAATGTTGCTGCCAAACTTGGGAACTGAGGAGAATGGAGAGTTGAATTGGAGGCTGCAAATAATGTTGGGACAGTAAGCTGGAGACAGGCCACAGCTGGAGAATGAGGTGGGGGTAGTCAGAGGTGTGGCAGTGCCTCCCAACCCTCTGAGGGTGGGTTACTGGTGTGCCAAACAGAGACCTCTGAGCCCTTGGGCGGCTTTGTTTATTTATTCTAGTGGGCTATACAAGAAATATTGTTTTCTGTAAGTACCTTGGGGCTTCAAAGGGGAAGAAGGTTATTGCAGGATGATAAGAAGAGCAGCTGGCCTGCCCTATAGAGAGCTCAAAAGGTTATCTCTGATAATCTCTTATTATGGGCAAGGCTCCTAATTTAAATTTTTCTAGGCAGTTAAGGGTGTGTGTGTGTGTGTGGGGGGGGGGGGGCACAGAACGCAGAAGCCTCTCTTGAGTCTGAAAGGTCTCAATTGCCTTGAGCTGTAAATAACCTACATACCTCAGAGGCGCATCTACAGTCGTCACAGAAGATTTCTAAAATACAGGGTGTCCTCCAAAAGTGTATAAACACTTTAACAGCTGATAGCTCAGTTTTGAAAATGAAATGTATTTTAATAGCCCTAGCTGGTTGGCTCAGTGGATAGAGCGTCGACCTGTGGACTGAAGGGTCCTGGGTTCGATTCTTGCCAAGGGCACATGCCCGAGTTTTGGGCTTGATCCCCAGTAGGGAGCGTGCAGGAGGCAGCAGATTGATGATTCTCTCTCATCATTGGTGTTTCTATCTCTCTCTCCCTCACCCTTCCTCTCTGAAATCAATAAAGAAATATATTTAAAAAAAGAAATGTATTTTAATAAATACTGCCTTTATAATTATTCAAAGTGTGTGTATACATATTTTTGGGACACACTCTGGATTAAGGATCCAGAGTCACGAAGAAGCTCGAAAGACCCTTTTATGACACTCATTTTCTATTTCCAATGTGGGCATCTTGATCTCTCAAACAAACTGAACAGGGGCCTTGTAATTCATTCTTCATTTCTTCAAAGCATCGGAAATGGTGTTCCATTAATGCAGGAAGCGGGAGGGAATGGATAAACAGGTTCTTTCTAGGTATTTACAGCATGTGCCTGGGTATTCAACAGAAGTGTTGGCTGTGCCCAGCCTAATAGCATTGAAAGAAATGGCCTAAGCTGTATTTTAGTAAGCACATGTTAAAATGATGGAATTGTGAGAGGGTGTTAAATCCTAAATTTTGTTTCTAGTATATATACACTAGAGGCCCAGTGCATGAAATTGTGCACTGGTAGGGTCCCTAGTGGCTCAATGATGAGAGATAACCGTAGATTGGCTGCCTCTTCCACGCCCCATACTGGGATGAAGTCTGCAACCTGGGCACATACCCTGATTGGGAATCAAACCATGACCTCTTGTTTCATAGGTCAACGCTCAATCACTGAGTTACACTGGCCGGGTTTGTTTCTTCTTCTGATCGCAGTTTTGTGATGCACTTATTCAGAAATGAAATCTTCCTGTTTAATAGATCCTTTATAGCTCATCTCATCTCCACTTCGATTTGGTTTCAAGAACAAATCTTAACTTAATAAAGCTCTTAATTCTAGAGATTTCAGTACTAATCCCAACTATGAAAGAGGCTATGTGCTTTATGTTCCAAGCTACCTCTGACACAGAGAGGTCCTATTATTCTCCTTCTCTGAAATTTGATTTAAATCTGCCTATTGAGAAACCATTTCAGTGGGAGAAAAAAACCAGAACTGCAGGTTTCATATTCTATTACATCAAGCCCGGGGTTCTGTATTGAATTGCTTATTTTGGGTGAAGTATGGTAGATGAACATTATGTGACTTCCCTCTCCCTGGGGTTCTTGTAAAAAAAAGAAATGCCAAGCACCTCAGTCCATGTAGAGGAAGACATTAAACAAAGGCTCTCTAGTGGGTGACTCAGAAACCTCTTCTCTATGGCAGGAGGTCCCTTAATCCAAAAAGTCAGGTAAGTGATATAGACAAAATTTGCATTTTAATTTTTTAACTGAAACACATAAGTGTAATTATTTCCCCCCAATTTTAAATTTAGAAGCAGTCTTTTTTTTTTTTTTTTTTTTTTTTAAATGGGTCCTCTGGTTGGTATTAGATGCCATCTGTCTCAAAATGCCTCACCCACAATTTCTAATTCTGGCTTCTGTAGATTAAGAATTTAGACACACGAGCGTTATTCCCTGACTTTACCCAGCCCTGCCCAACAGGGACCACAGTGATAGCTTGGGAAGTCCTCGCCGTTCAGTGGTTCTCGGTCAGTCTTTCCTACAGGAGCCAAGACTGACTCAGGCCCACAGAAATGTCGCGTGGGAGCAGTTCCTGTTTATTTGACTTGGGTGGAACCACAATGCACAGAACAGGTGCAGCCTGAAAGTTCTGAGAGAAGACAGGTGCACCGTGCAGGTGAATGTGGGCAGGAGCAGGATAAGGGGCAGTGTCCGGTGGGCCTCCCTAGGGAGGCAGACATCGCTTGTGGGGCAATGGCCTTCTGGGCTGTGCCGTGGGGAGCGTCCCTCCAGCACATCAGCCCAGGTGTGGGGGCTCGGCCCAGCTGCCCTCTCCCGGGCAGCACTGGGAGGATCCGGGGGCGTTCTAGGCTCACCCCCGCAATCCAGGGGAGATCCAGAACTCAGAGGCCATTCATGTGGAGAGAGGTCTCCTCCTGCAAGTGGGGACCAGAGGCACTGTCAGTGCAGCCAGAGTGCGGGATCAGGTCGGCGCCGGGGACACGGTTAGTAGGGCGGCCAGAAGTCATCCCTTTCCTCGTGATCCCGGTCTGAACCTGCTTGCGCCCATCTGAACCGCCACTTCGGGGCGGCGCCGGGTCAAGAAGTGACTGCGGTCTACCTGGCTCTTGGCCCCTGATGCCCAGGCCCCGCCCCTCCCCGCCCCGCCCCGCCCCCTGAGGATGGGCCAGGCCCCGCCCACCACACGCACAGGCCCGCCCCACAGGCTCCGCCCCCACCACGGCCGCGGGGCTGGGCCGCGCCGCCACGCGCTCAGACGCAGGGTGCTGCCCGCCCGCAGGGCTGAGCGCGGGCGGAGCTCTCGTCCCGCGGTGCGGGTCGTAGCCCAGCGGCTGCCGGCATGGCCACCGCGGCGGCGGCGGCGGCGGCGGCAGGGATGGCCCACGGGGCCCGGGCGAGGACGGCGGCAGCAGCCCTGCGGAGCGTTTGCGGGACGGCGGCCCGGGGGCGGCTGCGCGCGGGCCACGCACGGCCCTTGTGCACGGCCCCTGGAACCGCTCCCGACATGAAGCGCTACCTGTGGGAGCGCTACCGGGAGGCGAAGAGGAGCACGGAGGGTGAGTGCGACCGCCCTCCCACCCCGGGGGGCCCCTGTACCTGTGGGGGCCCTCTCCGCGGGGCTGGGGCGCCGGGTCTCCTCCCGCGCGGTCAGCCGGGAAGCGTGTATCCTCGGACCCGTGCAGGACCCGCTGCTGACCTACCGGATCCCCAATCGTGACCCTCAGCCGCCCCGGTCACCCCCGGCTGCAGGCAGCATCGCCTCCTCATTACTGTTCTGGGAAACGCGGAAAAATGCGCCTGCAGAAACTTTACAACTCTTGCCTTCCTCCCATTTGGAAAGCTGTTTTATAAATTCTTGGGATTTTTAGTCGGAAATCTGCATCGGGAGCCCTCTGGGCTCCCCCGGGGGTTTCACCGACCTCGCCTGGGAGACGGCCACCCCCGCGCACCGTTAGGTATTGTTAGGGACAAACACTAATAATAGTAACAGCCGGAATCCGACGGACTGCAGATCACTTTGGAGCGCGACTGCGGGGCAGGTGACAGTGTCCGGAGGCTAACCTGGCTTCCTTCTTTGTTTTAGGGGACAGGGTGGATTTGCGGTGTTTGAAAAAGGAGGGGATGCAGGTTGGGGATGTTCGGGGCTATCTAACCTCGGCGAGGAGGGGCTCCCAGGAAGCGACTGCGTTGTGGTCTCCTGACCTTAAAATTAGCCTGGTTCCGCTGTTACTAAGGGAAATGGGAGAGAGAGAAAGAGGAGGAGGAAATATTAGTGCCAGCCACATAGACTGTCTCCCTGAATTCTTCCCGCACCTACCCGGGGGAGATGCCACATCCCCATTCTATAGATGGGAAGGGTGAGACTCAAATTTAAGGAACCTGGCCGCCGTCACACCTTGCCTGGGATCCGCCTCAGCGCCTCACCCACTGTCTTATTTCCTGCGTTGCTCTGCCTTGCAGGAGTAGCTGACCATTTGGGAACCGGCGCCAAGGGCCAGTGATACTGGTGCTGCTTCTTTCAAGGGAGGTTTAGAGTGGAAAGTTTAACAGATTTTTTGAGGAGGGGGGTAGAAAGGGCACACGGAGATAAACATCCTGTAGAATCATGTTTTCCACTTTTTGGCTAGAAGTCACGGTAATGAAAGAAAGCAATTGGGATACTTTTCCGAGGGAACTCAAAGTGGCCAGCAATGCAGAATGCTGTGTAACGGGGCACATTTTCTTAGTGTTCCTTTGCTCAGAGTTAGTTTTGCGTTGGTTTTTGAAGTGGTTGTGTGCCATGGTGGAAAAAGGACTGGCTTTGGAGACATTGGAAATTGCAGCTTTTCAGCGAAGGAAATGTAGACCATGTAGCCCAGTTTTGGGGCAGGGAAGACTTTAAAATGGAAACTCTTAATTGAAGGAATTGTATATTTACAATATACAGATGTAAGAATTAATACAGTGAATTTGGCATATTCTTTGCCTTGTTTCTCCTAATAGTAACATTTTGCAAAGCAATAAATAGTACATTATCACAACCAGTATATGGGTATTGATACATTTCTCAGCTCTTGTTCAGAGTCCTCTAGTTTTACTTGTACTTATGTGTGTATTTAGTTCTATACAGTCTTAGCACTTGTAGGTTCTTATGTCTTGCACCACAGTCAAGATAAAGAACAGTTTACTACCAGCATCCCTCATATTATCTTTATAACTATAGCCACTCCTTCCTTATGCTCTCTCTAATTCCTGGGGCATTCTCCATTTCTAAGATTTTATAATTTCAAAAATGTTCTATAGATGGGATTATACAGTATGTAATCTTTTGGAATTGGCTTTTTTCCCACTAAGCATAATTCCGTGGAGTTTCATCCAAGTTGTGTGGAATAGCTGAGAAGCATTCCATGGTATGGATGTAACTCAGCTTAACCCTGTTTAACCACAGTCCACTCACTGAAGAACATCTGGGTTGCTCCCAGTTTTTTACTGTTACAGTAAAGCTGCTGTAAAATTTGGGTCCAAGTTTTTTTTGTGAAAGAACATATGTGTTCATTTCTCGAAATGCTATGTCATTGCTTGGTTGAATGGTAATTCTATATTTAGTTTTGTAAGAAACTGGGCAAACATTTTGTCTTCCTTATTTTGTGGGTGAGGTTTGCCACTTGCTTGTACGCAGTGAGACCCTGGGGATGCCACGAAGCCTCCATTTCCTCATCTGTAAAATGGGATGCTGGCAGTAGCACTAACGTCATAGGGTTGTGTCCAGGAATGAGTGAGTCCAACCATGAAAGGTGAGTGCTGGTCACATTGTAGAATGCCCCTCATTTGGAATTTCTTCTTTTTTTTTTAACTTGAGATTTTTAGAAGTGTAATATTTATGCACCCTGTATACAATTCAGCTCAAGAAAAGGTTCTTTGTATTTTTAGGAAAAGAAACTTTGGTTTATAACGTTTAGCAGAAATTTCCTGTAGCCCTATGGTTCTCAACTAGCGTTGAAGGTGGGGGGCATTTTGCCCTCCCAGGACATTTGGCAATGTTTGAAGACCTTTCCTGGGAGAACAGGGAGGCTGCCGGCCTCTAGTGGGTGGAGGCCAAGGGTGCCGCTATCCCAGCGGTTCTCAACCTGTGGGTCGCGACCCCTTTGGGGGCCGAACGACCCTTTCACAGGGGTCGCCAAAGACCATGGGAAAACACATATATAATTACATATTGTTTTTGTGATTAATCACTATGCTTTAATTATGTTCAATTTGTAACAATGAAATTGGGGGTCACCACAACATGAGGAACTGTATTAAAAGGTCGCAGCAATAGCAAGGTTGAGAACCACTGCGCTATCCTATAGCCACCCACAGCAAATATTGTACAGCCCCAAATGTCAGTTGTGCCAAGACTGAGAAAACTTATTCTAAAATGATGAATTCTGCGAAATCACGTGCAATCATCATTTAAAGGGATGGATGTATTTGCATGTGGCCTGTTATTTCCTGTCACGTCGCATGCTGTGTGCATCTTTCAACCTCCTCCCTGGCCTGCCCTGTGTGTGTTCACCTCATGGAATTTCTGGGACATTAACTGAGATAACGAGTGAGAAGTGTCCTGTGCGTGGCACGTGGGAGGCACTGATATCTCTTCTATGTCCTCTACACCTCAATGACAAATTCTTGATAGTTTGCCTACTGTTTGATCTTTTGGAAGGCAGCTATGCTCACCACTATACCACCAACGCCTTCTGTTTGATCTTTTGATAGGGCTATTTCTAAGTTTTCCTTTTGAGCAGTTAAGGTTTTTAATTTTAATTTTTTTTTATTAGATGGCTATTCTTAAGATTAAGTTATCATTAAACCATTACTATATATAATTTTATGTCAAATGTAGTTGCATGTAGTTTTATATTGCGAACTTTGGGAAGCATAATGAATTTCTACAGAGCAGTCAATTACAGGTATTACTTACAGAGTAGTAAGGGTTATAATTTTAACTTTTGGTGGGAGTAGTATAACTGTCATATGCATTATTCATTATTCAGATAAGTAATTCTTTTTGTCGTGGATTGATTTCCCCTGGAGATGATGCAAAAATATCTAAGCTAGTGAAAAAAAGGCAGGCCTCTTTTTAGATTAATAAATGCAATAAGTACAGCTTTTGAATTGCCACCTTCTCTGGGGGCACGCCCAGCCCTGTGTTAGTTCCACTTATTTCCACCTGTCAGAGTGCCATATCCTGGTCTCTCTCACTGCCTGTGATGTGATATTGCTCATTATAGTTTATGCTTTGCCATTATTTTTATTTATAATCTCTGCACTGTGCCCCATACAGTGTCTGGCACACAGTAGCTGTGCAGTAAGGCTTATTGCAAAAATTCCTGAGAGTTTAGTAAGTGGGAAAACCAATTTATCAAAATAGTACATGCTATATGGTTTCATTTATATAAAATCCTAGAAAATGCAAATCTGATAAAATGAACAGCAGTTGCCTGGGGATGGGCAGGGGTGCAGGAGAGACGGAGGGGTGGAATTCCAAGGGGTGCAAGGAAATGTTTGGGGCCATTAGATATGCTCATTATCTTCATTGGGATGATGGCTTCACCGGTGTATACATATGTCAAACCCCATCTAAGTTTATACTCTATTAGAAGCCCAGCACGTGAAATCACGCGAGACCCAGACCTGGCGCGGTGTGGGACCCAGAGTCAAGTCCCTCCTGGTGACCGGTCTTTGGTCGTTATGGCGTTACGACCACCGGGTTTTTATTATATAGATGTGTGATTTGTTATGCATCATTGGTACCTCCATAAAGTTATAAAGGAGAGACACAGAAATAATGGATGGACTCTGGTTTAGCCTGGATTAAGGCAGTACCCAGGAGGTAGGACCCTAGGAGTGGTCCAGCATGAGTCACGTGTTCTGTTCTGGACCAAGGACTAGGGATGGAGGGGCGGGGTAGGGTCCCAGAAGAGCTCAGAATTTGTGTTTTCAGAGGTGGCAAAGGGTCATTTCTTGTCTAAGGGTTGGGGTGTGTTGGGCAGATGACCACATATGTTCACCCTCATAGTGAAAAGGACACCTTGGACATCTGGAGATCTGTTATGGGACTGTTGCAGAAGTAAAAGTGATTTACAATGGAATGGCTATTGGAGATGCTGGAGAAAACAGTTTCTGGCTAAGAATATCAGTAGTTGTATTTAAATCTCTAAGGTCTGGGGGATAAATGGTGATGGAAGGAGACTTGACGTGGGGGGAGGTGCTGAACACATAATACAGTGTACAGATGCTGTGTTGTGGAATTGTGCACCTGAAAACTATATACTTTCGTTAACCAATGCTACTCCAATAAATACAACAAAAAGAGAAAAAAAAAACCCAAACCCCCAAATAAATCTCTAAGGTCTTATAGTAGCACACCTTATGAGTTGTCTGTATCTCAAGCCACACTTTCTGCTTGTCTTGATTTCCTTTCCTATAACTAATTAGCAGAAAGGATATTAAATGGACACAACCATACCAAACAACATTGGTTGGCAGGAAATGTAGCATTCTAAATATAAACGTGAAATTTGTGTTATGGTCAGACTGTTCCCTAACATATCAATTGCATCAGAACAAACCCACACTTTTCAGGCAAGTGGCAGTAGCAAAACTGTCTGGCCTTTGCCCAAGCCTTTCTCAACAGAAGGAAGTTGAATGTGTGATGTTTTCTAAGAGAAAATCACCTAAAGTGGGGTTGTCTTTTCCTTGGCAGGTACAGATGAGAAGTAGAAAGGTTTCAAATTTGGATATTGAACCTTGAGTTTACTTGTCACAGAGACAGTCGTTGAAATGTAGATACTGCTTCACCTTAGGAACCAAAGTTCCTATACTTTTTTTCCTCATATATTTTCAACCTATATACTTTTAAAACCTTATTTTCAATCTACATGAGGACTTTTTTTTTTTTTTTTTAAACATATTTTATTGATTTTTTACAGAGAGGAAGGGAGAGAGATAGAGAGTTAGAAACATCGAAGAGAGAGAAACATCGATCAGCTGCCTCCTGCACACTCCCCACTGGGTATGTGCCCGCAACCAAGGTACATGCCCTTGACCGGAATCGAACCTGGGACCCTTCAGTCCGCAGGCCGACGCTCTGTCCACTGAGCCAAACCGGTTCCGGCCTATACTTTTTTTCCTCATATATTTTCAACCTATATACTTTTAAAACCTTATTTTCAATCTACATGGGGACTTTTAAAAGAGAATTTGAAGCATCTTTAGTAAATATAAACTAATTCATAAACTTTTTTGAATACTTATGAATATTCATGAAATAGGTCTCTTGGGATTGTGGTTTGCCTTACCAAAAAAATTGAACTTCAGCCTGGCCTGCGTGGCTCAGTGGTTGAGTGTTGACCTATGAACCAGGAGGTCACAGTTTGATTTCCGGCTGGGGCACATGCCTGGGTTTCCGGCTTGATCTTCAGTAGGCTGTGTGCAGGAGGCAGCTGATGGATGGTTCTCTCTCATCATTGATGTTTCTGTCTCTCCCTCTCTCTCTGAAATCAATAAAAATGTATTTTAAAAAATTACTGTATGATCCAGCAATTCCACTTTGGGTATATACTCTGAAGAAGTGAAAGCAGGGGCTCAAAGAGATATGTGTGCACAGCAGCATCATTCACAGTAGCCAAGAGGTAGAAGTAACCCAAGTGCCCATCATTGATGGATGAATAGACAAACAAAATATGGCATATGCATACAATGGAATATTATTCAGCCTTCAAAAGGAAAGAATTCTGACACATGCTATGACATGGATTAACCTTGAGGACATTATGCTAAGTAAAATAGGCCAGAAAAAAAATATATGATGATTCCCTTGATGTACCTGGAGCAGTCACATTCATAGAGAGTAGAGTGGTGGTTACCAGGGGCTGAAGTTGTGGGGGGATGGGGAGTTGTAATTTAATGGGTGTGGAGTTTCAATTTTGCAGGATGAAAAGAGTTCCTGGAGACCAGTGTGCTGATGGTTGCACGGCAATAGGAATGAACTTAATTAAGGTCTGAACCGTATACTTAAAACTGGTTATTTTATTTATGCAATTTTACTACAATAAAAATGAGTAAACAAACCCCCCCAGACAGCTTATGTGTTTTGCTATAGTTTGGTCACCACATTGCCCAGCGTTCCGTGGGATGAGCAGATGAAAAACTGGAAGCTGACGGGCGTGTGCCAGTGGGTGTCCCACCTGCTACACTGCCCCCTGAAAGGCTCTCGGCTTCCAGCTCAGGGTGGCTGTGTGGGAGCCTGGCTCTGGCTAGAGTAACAGAGCTGTCTCTCCATTTCTTTGTACAGTTGTATAGTCTTGCTGTCATCACCCATTAGGTGCAAAAGGAACTCACATTCTAAATTCTTACCCAGTCCTGTTTCCTCTTTGGGAAAGTGCATAACTGACTAGTCAAGAGCCTTCCGTTTATATTTTAGAGTCTGTAGTTTAGTCTGCTCATTCTCTTTATGAGTGATTGGCCTTCTTTTCTCTTGCCTTGTAAGTATTGGTCTTATTCTTAGCACTTCTTTAAGGGGTTGCAGGGCGTGTTGCCATCCCTTTTAAGCCTCTGATGTTCCTCTGTTTATTTTGAGTGATGATAAATTAAACGTCCAAGTTTTCTGGTGATGATGTTCATGTGAGTAATACACTTTCAGTCCAGCAGGGGGGTGGCGGAGGGCGGGGGTGGGGGGTGGGTGGGTGGTGGCGGGGCGGGCGGGGGGAGGGAGGGGTGAGGAATTCCAGAGCAGCTTTCGGAGATGTGCTGGCTATTAGTGATTTTCCATCTTGGTCGTGTTTCCTTGAGAGCTTTACATATTCTTTTCTCAGGTAGTAGAAAGGGAGAGGGGCTTCATTGCCAAGGCCATTTCTAAATATAAACTTCTTATTTAAACAGGCTGTTAGAACTTCCCTTGGAAAGTTGATTTGCCAAGGTAGAGCTTTTAGGCACACTGTAAGTGATCCCTGCTTTACTAACTTCGTGCGGACAGTGTCACGTGGCCATATTCAGAAAATAGCATCATCTGATTATGTAAGGCCAGAAAGTCTTGGGTGTTAGATGCCCAAGAGTGTGGAACTGTTGGCTTCTCCCTTCCTCAGGACTAATTCATGTCAACGGGCTACCCTCAGGTTTCTAAAATGTTACTGTTTCCTGTCCTCACATTGGTTTTATTTGCAAAAGAAAAAAACCACACTAAGGTTATTGTCTCATTCATTTCTTTATCAAAATTAATGAAGAAATGGAATTAGTTAATCATGACTGTTTGGGTTTTCAGTAGAGTGAGCCACATCTAGATTGTCAATGGGCAATTCATTCACTTGTTCCTTCATTCGTTTGTTCATTCATTCATTCACTCACTCATTCATACACTTGCCTTCATTAGCCTGGAAATTCTGTGTGAGGATGTAAAGGCTTAGTTTGAAGTTAGTGTAATGTGACAGCTTAATTGGAGACCATGAATAGGCTTCAGGGGTCAATCTCCCTGAAAATTTCTGCAAAATCTGCGTGCATTTTTCTGGGGAGAGGATTCTATAGCTTCTGTTAGGTTTTCTAAGGGATCCAAGCCGCGAAGCTGCGAGGGACCTTCTGGGATGCTCGGAATTGCTGCTGGACTGTCCCGAGTGGAGTGGTCACCCTGCTAGATTAGTACCTTTGGAGTATTTCAGGTGACCCTTGGAACGCAAGTGAGTAAGGTGGGCTATTCCTAGTCAGAAAGAAGTGAGCAAAAGGGAAAAGGGAAGCACCATGGACTCTAAAGCATTGAAATTATGAAGACTTGAATTTATTTTATTTTTGGAAAAAAAAAAAAAAGCACTGTTCTCCATTGCAAAGATGGTATCTTCAGACTTCCTGAAGATGATGCAATACTTAGGGTCATGCCGAGGAAAATGAAGACTGATGTTGCAATGGGATTTATTTCACTATTGTACCATCTCAGACAACCACCTGTCATTCTCCTTTCTTAATGTAGTTATTTTAAAATCATAGGTGGGGATGATCGATGGGTAATGATGAATAACTTCTGCAGTGATAAAATAGCAACTGTTTTAAGATTTTGGTAAAATAAGATCACTAAACATCCCATAATGCATTTTTGCTTTTTAAAGGGGTCTAGTGGACTCGTGGAAATTGTAAGGTAAAATGACTTTTTTGGAAAAGCTCCAAGAAAGTGTACAAGTCATGAAATAACTACCCTTACTGAGATAGACCTGCTTAAAAAATGAACTCTAAACTATTGTTGGATGCAGGGGACTCTGGGGCTAACCACATTTCTAATTAGCCATATGAAGGAACTAATCTGAATGGTAAAGATTAATATATGAAGATTCTTACTCCAGTGTTATTTTCTTAAAATAGAAAAAACCTAATGTGTAACATAGAATAATAGGTTGATTTGGCACAGTATACTCAAATCTTTTGTAATGATTTAACGTTATATTCTCAGAAAGTCTGTAATATAGGAGAGTATAGTCATCACAGAACATTACATTTAGAGAGCAGAATACAGAGCTGTATACACAGTGTGAGGTCAACTATGTAAAGTATATACTTACAACCATATTGGCAGCAAATACAAAGGTTGGTAGTAGTTTTTTTTCTGGGTGATGACATGATTTGTGATATTTAAATTTAATTATCTGTCTGTTTATCTTTCAAAATCTGTATCTGACCTGTATTATTTTATAAACAAAACAAATCTTTTTATGACATTGAAGCTAATATTCTGTTTTAAGAGCAGTTTTGTTAAGATAGTATTTACATACCATACAATTCACCCACTTACTGTCTCCCATTCAGGTTTCTAGTATATTCACAACTACTCTTCAACCATCACCATAATCAATTTTAGAACATTTTCATCACTCCAGAAAGGAACTCTGTACACCCATTAGCACTCACTGTATTTCTCCCCATCCCACAGTCCTAGGCATCCACCAATCTCTCTATGGATTTGCCTGTGCCAGGCATTTCCTGTGAATGGAATCACACACACGTGGTCCTTTGTGACCAGCTTCTTTCACTCAGCGTCATGTCTTCGAGGTGAAGCCGGATCACTCTGTTCGCTCGTTTCATTTAGAAACTAACCCTTATTTATCACGTGGCGTAATGCATTTCTTTTTTCTTTACTTCCAGAATTGGTGCCTTCAATCATGAGCAATTTGCTGAATCCGGATGCCATTTTCTCAAACAATGAGATGAGCCTGTCGGACATTGAGATCTATGGCTTTGATTATGACTACACCTTGGTGTTTTATTCAAAGCACCTCCACACGCTGATATTCAACGCTGCTCGGGACCTTCTCATCAATGAACACCGGGTAAGAGCAAGGGACATGTCGCTCTTCCTCCCCAGCCCTCTTGTGTGAAGAACAGCCGTGGCTGACCTGACCTGGTGCCTGGCACACAGGTGCCACTTAAAAAATTGCGGCTGAATGAATGAACAGATTTTGTTCTGTTCCATTAACCACTTTATTGAGTTGTGATTGACATGTTAAACAACTGTACATATTCAATGTATACGTTTCCATGAGTTTGGGGATAAATATACAACTGTGAAACCCGTACCCCCATCAAGGCCATAAACTCCATCACCTCCCCGAGTCTCCTCCTGCCCCTTTTATTATTATTATTATTGTTGTTATTTGTGAGTGTGTGGTAGGGACACTTCACATAAGGTCTGCCCTCTTAGCAGTTCTTAAGTATATAGTACAATATTGTTTGCTATGGGTATCATGCTGCATAGTAGATTTTTGGAACTTATCTTGCATAATTGAAACTTTGTATACTCGAACTTTTACGTGTCTGCAATTGGAGACTCACCTGCAGGTGTTTGAGCTCTCACTTCTCGCAGAGCAGTGACATAGCTTCTCCTGAGGTCTGAGGATGTGGCAGCCTGCTGAGTTCTGATTAGAAGGAATTCTTCAAAGGAGAGGCATTGCGCTTTGTTCTGGTCCCAGCCTGTCCACAACCAGCGTTGTGACTGAACCAGCCTTATGGTTATCACGCTTGCAAGACACCCTTTAGCAATAGCCATTAGGAAACTTCTAAAAGATACAGCTTTATTATTTAAAGACCTGGAAATTATACCACACACCTGGGGTCCCACAGCGGGGTGGGAGGCAGAGAGAGGGCATGTGTGCATGGGCCTGGGTTCCGCTTTTATTTGGGTCGAGGGTAGGGGGGCCGAGAGTGTCCTGGGCTCACTTTTTAGTGGTGAATCTAAAATATAAGAGCCGGTTTTAAAGCACGGGAAGAGAACACAAGCAAGTAACCCAAATGGTCATTTATTGAAATTGGCCATGATCTCTAAAACAAAGGAACTGCTATAAGGGGAGGCAGCCTGGCTCTCGATCCTGTGGCTGGTGGTGTGTTTATTCCAGATTTGAAGAGGATGCCTCTTTGAAATGGGTGACTTGGAAGTCAAACCTTAAGTCAGGCACTTGCATTACAAAAAAGAAAGAAAACTGTCAGGGCTTATACAACACAATTTTTTACCCTCATCACTGACTGAATTGTGTTCTTTTATAAAGAATATTTGAATGTCTTCTGGTGCGTAGTATTGTTGAGACCTTAGAATAAGGAAGGAAAAAACCCCACACTCAAAACCTAGGATGTGTTTCTCTGGTCTGGGTTGAGTACACATTTCAGGAACCATGATGAGAAGACTCCTCAGAGGTCATCTGGGCTCGTGTCATTGGAGAACCCCCATGGCATCCCATGAAGTACCGCTTGTATCTCTGTTACTCAGGGAGACAGTTCTGATTTGGGGGAGATTCTTCCATGGGTTCTTTTTATCATCTTGGTCACCCTCCTTTGTGTGTGCTCTGTTTTATTTATCTCAGATGTGATGCCCTGAACTGGAGATGTTACTGCAGGTGGGGTCTGATAGTGTGGAATAGAGGGAGACCATCACCTCCCTGATTGTGGATACCATACCTTTATTAATACTGCCAAAGTTTCTATCAGCTTTGACTCCTCACCATTTGATGCAGTTTATTCCCTTCAGCTTTTGGTTATCAGTGGATTTAATAAGCAACTCATCTTGTCCTATTTTAAAATGCAGAAATGGTATTTGCCAAAAATAACTTGACCTCTGCCACTAAGCCACCGGCCATCTTTCTTTAGTTATGTCCCCCTTACCAGATGTCAGCCCATCCAGCCACTTGCCATTCAATAACATTTCTCTACCCCACTGGGAGATTGAGCTGAAGGGGTGTGGCTGGGTGCTGGCGTTCTACTCCCAGGCCATATGCTGTGACTGTGTTACCACTCACAAAACCTAAGTCGTTGCTAACAGCACCGTCTGCTGCTTGTCTGCTGGGTACCAAAAGCCCAGGTTCTAGAACAGATCCTGCCTTTATCACTTCTCATCTGCATGACAGCCCTGCATATAGATACTGTCTCTGTTTTACGGTTGAGGAAACTGAGGCTGATGGAGTTAAGCCAGTAGGTCAAGGCCACGAGACCAGTAGGGGGCAGAACCAGGATTTGGGCTTAGATCTGTCCATTTCCAAGGCGCAAATGTCTTCTCCTTTAGGTCATGTTGCCCCTTGTGGGATTAATAACCCCACATTTCTACCCCATGGGTTTATTGTTCACAGGAAAATAAAATATTCAGGAAAATTAAGAATTGAGGAAAATAAAAAATTTATGAAACTTGTGGGGAAAGAGAGTTGAAATGATAGATGGGAAAAAAAGTTGCAATGATTATGATTAGAAAAGCTTCTAGATTTAAGGTCATGAAATTTCACTTCTATTATGTATGTTTGTTGCTTGGATAAAAGAAATATAACACTAATTATACAGGCATATTAATAGAGTCAGTTATGCTTGTACAGCTTTTTCTTTTGCTTTGGATTTGAAAATGATTCTTCTAAGATGCTGTTAGAAGCACTGACTTTGGTGCTGTTGTTCCTGCCAAAAGACTATGTGTGCTTATAGAGTTGGAAAGACATCTGCGCTTGAGTGCACAGTAATAGAACAGGAAGTGGGCAATTTAGCATCTTCCCAAAAAGCAAATGTAAAAGTTTCAGCTCCTTAATTTCTTTCTTTCTTTCTTTCTTTCTTTCTTTCTTTCTTTCTTTCTTTCTTTCTTTCTTTCTTTCTTTCTTCCTTCCTTCCTTCCTTCCTTCCTTCCTTCCTTCCTTCCTTCCTTCCTTCCTTCCTTCCTTCCTTCCTTCCTCTCTCTCTCTCTCTCTCTCTCTCTCTCTCTCTCTCTCTCTCTCTCTCTCTCTCTCTTAAACACAAAGATAGAAGTAGAAAAGATTGGGTAATAATTGTACCCTCATTTCATATGTCCATGAGGGAGAGATAGGAGGGGAGTGTCAGAAGAGTTCTTGATTTCATCTCCTAAATTTGCACCCTCATCTGTGTTTTTCAATCAGTAATTGGCAGTGATGTTCACCTAGTTTTTCAGTCTAAAGCCTAACATTGGCCGTGACCCCTGGCATTCTGTATTTCACCTCTGATTTCTGCAGCAAATGTTGCGGGCCCTCGCTCTCTCCCTCTCTCTCTCTCTTTCTTGTTTTTTTAAATAATCTTTTAATTTTAGAAGAGTCTTAGGTTTACAGAAAAGTTGCAAAGGTAATACAGAGAGCTCCTGACTGTATACCCCATATCTGGTTTCCCTTAATATTAACGTGTTACATTTCCATGGTACATTTGTCACAAGCGAAGACCCAGTGTTAATAAATGATTATTTCTAGCTTCTCAAATCATTTATTTTAAATTTTTTCTCTCTTCTAATATTCGTAGGTAAAGCTCTAAACTTCCCTCTCAGCACTGCTTTAGCTTGTTGAGTTTAAGCCTTCATGTGATTTTTATTTTTTATTATTTATTTATTTATTTATTGTGTAAAGTATTACAAAGAGTATTACATATGTCTCCTCCACCCCCCCCCCCCCCGCCCTTGACAATCCCCTGGCCTCCCCTATCCCCCAGTGTCTTATGTCCATTGGTTATGCTTATATGCATGCATACAAGTCCTTCGGTTGATCTCTTTGAGAAGCTAGAAAAAGAAGAGGAAATTAAAGCCAAAATATATGGGAATAAAAATAATATTAATTAATAAAATAGAAAAGAAAATCATTGGTTCTTTGAGAAAGATTAATAAAATGAATATATTCTTTGGGTAGAATGATCAAATGATCAAATGATCAAATGATCAAAATTACAAATTAACAACACAAAGAACGAAAGAGGGGCATCACTACAGATCTTTCAGACGTTAAAAGGATAATAAAAGATTATTATGAACAACTTTATGCAATAAATTTAAAATTTTAGTTGAAATAGAATTTGTGTCCTAGATAGTTAGAAGAAGAAATTGAAAATCCAAATAACCCTATAATCTCTACCTATGTGGGAAGAATTAAAAAATCTTCCCCAAAGAAAACTCCAGGCTGAAATCGTTTCACTGGTGAATTCTACCCATTATTTTAAAAATGTAATAATACCAATCTTATATAAATTCTTTCAGAAAACAGAGGAAGAGGGACTATTTCCCAGTTAACTTTATGAAGCTAGCATAACCCTGATACTAGCCAAGGACATTATAAGAAAAGAAAATTATAATAACTCTCTTGAACATAGACAAAAACATTTAACAAAATATTAGCAAACTAAATCAACAATAAATAAAAAATATATTAGGACCAAATATAGCTTATTCCTGGAGTGTAATATTGGTCTTACATTTGAAAATCAATGTAATTCCTTACATTTACAAAATAAAGGAAAACAGCATGATCATTTCAATATATGCAGAAAAAGAACTTAACAAAATGCAATGATCATAAGAATAAAAAACAACAACCAGTTTTAGTAAACTAGGAATGAATGGACTTCCTTAACCTGATTAATAGCATTTATGAGTAACCTACAACTAATCTCCCACACTGCACTAAGTTTTAGGGCCAGGCAAGAATGTCTGTTTTCACCATTTCTCAACATTGTACTGAATGTCCTAGTCAGGGCAATAAAGAAAAAAAATAAAAGAATCAAAAGCCACAAAGTTTAAGGGGAAAAAAAGAAGCAAACTTTTTATTTATGGATGACATCCGTACAAGAAACAAGGTCCAGACCCAGTCATATTATTCACCATGTCGTCGGTCACCAAACCACATAACCATGTGGACAACTCTCAGGGAATCCCTCAAATATTGTGAGCCTGACGTTTCCAGATTTAGGCCAAAGCCAGGGCAAAGGACATTACTATTAAAGAATTGTTTTCGCAGTGGTAAGAACCCTGGGCTAGAAACACCCTATTGCTGGATTTCCAGTAAGAAACTCTGTGATGCCCTGGCCGGCTTGGCTCGGT